GGAAATGTTAGGGCAGTTACAAGATGACAGCTTGTGTGGCCCACTTCTGCTGTTAGTTGGAAAACAATGGTCACACCATTATTTTGTGGTGCTCAAGGCCAGGCACTGCAAGCTCTTGGCTCCTGTGGACGCCCACAGTGGGTGTGGAAGCACATTGCTGCTGCAGTTTGGGCCAGCACTACACTGAAAAACCTAACAAAAGTATTACACAGCTCTGTAAACACTCTTGGATTTGAAATCTCCCAGTTCTTTAAGTTCTTGTTCAAATGAGCATGAGCTTTACCAGAGGAGTGGTTCCAAGTGAGTTTTAAGATGGGATAGCTCTAAGATGGGATGAGTCTGCCATATCCTGAATTTTATCCAAAACTTCATTTTTCTTATATTTTGAGTTTTGAATTTTTTTTCTGCAGCCTACCCTCTTATCACATACAAGAGACAGAAGGCCATGTTGAGTTGTTGTGCTGTAAGTATGTCTTTATCATGATACAGCCACCAGAAGTAAAATTTTCTCTGTAAGCAAAATTTGTGGGCACACAGCAGTATTGCAATTTCAGAGATTCCCTTTTGTTTCATCAGGACACATCTGAAAGAAGTTTACATCCTTTTTGTTATGTGTTAATAGCACCAGATGAGCACCATGCCACTAGCAATAGGTTTATCGTCTTCAAAGTTACAGCCCACAAAAAATCGGCTTGAAATTAACGTCTCCATAATGGCATTACTGATTTTTTTAAGTGCAAGAACTTGACTGTGATTCCAGGAGGATGTAGAAAATAATGAAACAGACCACCTTTATACTCAAACATTCCTTTAAATTTACGGTTATTGTTGTGAAATTTCCCACTGCAGTATTTGAGGAAGGCGATATCATGTAAATATCTTACAAAAAATACTCTGTGCAAATGAAGGGTAAAATAAGCTGGGATTTTATTATTATTATTATTATTATGTTCCAAATAAAAATAGGGTTGATTTGCAGCAATTTTGAAAGCACAGAACTTTCAAGTCAAGTCTTAAAATAATTATAGTCTATCTAGCATCACATGAACAGCCAAGATAGGCCCTCATACTGCGCAGAAGCAAAATGACAAATCTAATCAATTACCTGTTGCATATGGAAAAGAAATTACAGTTAATACTAAAACATTCAGATTACATATCAACCAGCTAAACACAGTTCAAGTAATTAATGTGTCTAAAGTAGTCTTCAAAAGACCAAGAAACAAGACTATGTCCTGATATATTGCAGCATCCAGGTTAGTGTCTTTCGGAAAGCAAGGATTCTTAGTTATTTGAAGAACAGCATGAGTGGGTACGTAGAATAAGTCCCACACTTTGCAAAAATAAATAAAATGACATTATTTTTGATATTTATTTCCTGTTAAATAGCTCATACCTCTCATTGATTGTAAACCAGTGGAAAACCCTTGAAGAAGCAATTCTTGTAAGACAGTTCCTGTTTGCAGAGAATTTACATCACTGAAATTTCAGATACATGTGAAATCACAGAACTAGAAGAAGCACTTGCAGACTTATCATATTTATTACAGAAACTCTTACCTTTCCCACTTCTCCTACTGTATTGTCTACCACCGTGCCCTGAAGACTTTTTTGGTTTTTTTTACAAGTGACTCCTTAGACTTTTATTGTGAAATGAAATAAAAAGGGGTTCACTGTTGTTGAAGAATCCATTCAGTGCAGGTTGCTCGGGGTGCAGCTGCAGGTTGAGTTCTGGGTGGGAGCCCCAGGCAAGGGGCCATGAAATGTTCACCCTGTGCAGAACAAATGTCATGGGACCTGTGGCCCAGCCAGGGGACTGGACTCTCAGAGACACAGCAGGAGCTGAGGACATCAGACTGTCCTGTGCTTACACTGGGAAGGTATAAAAGCCCAGGGTTTCCTTTTTTGGAGGTGCTCCTCAGAGGTACCAGCTTGACCTGATATTTTCTTATTTAGTTATTGCACCAAGATTAAATTATTTTAAGGATCAAGACATCTGAGACTCTGCTGTGGGAAATCTAAGTTTGAAGGAAACCTGGTCTGCCTGTGCGTGTGGGGTGTGTAGGGAGTCAGGCAGGTCACCTGTCAGCTCACTGAAGCCAGCCACTGGCAAAGGGCTGCAGTCCCTGCCCAGGCAGTGAAGGTGTGACTGCCAAATTGGCTCCTGGATGATCAGACAGCGAAGTTTTCCTAAAAACACTCATAGATGTGAACCCATTCCTGCCTTAGGTTAGGCACAGCAAAGATCAAAAGAGTCACTATATATGTACTGGAGACCTGCTGATAATATATACTAGCTGATACTATACTAACATTACTAACATTAAGTGTATTAGAGGAAGCATTTCAGAGGGCACAGTGACAATTTAGAGTTTACTGTATATTCTGCAGTGCTCTTCATTTACACAAAAGAATACTGTGCTTGAAATTCCTTGTATTTGGCATGCTTATTTAGGATTTAATTCTGAATTATTTGCATGTGTAACTTAAAGCTTCTTTCTATAATAGCATATGGGGGATGCAGTATCTCACAGCTCTGTGCAGCACAGCTTGGTACTTGGTTTAGTAATTCACATACCATTTTTAAAACATCCCATAAACTTGACTGAAATATACCACAGAAACACAAAGTAGGACCTTGCTTATTACTGTGGGAAATCCCATCATCTTCCATGAAACTATTCATACAGGTAAAAGTAGCATTTCCTGTGCTGGTCTCATGATGAGCCATAAATTCTTAAATTTGTTAAGCCTTAAAGATGAAAAGGGCAAGAGAACTGTGAGAACATTTAATGCTCCTTTATCATCACCACATTCTCATGGACAGGGGTTTGTTTATGTCTGTGTCTATTACACTGTCCCAGGGTGGCTTTATGATGTTTGTATCCCCAAATATCTGTTCTGTTTATGCTGGATATGAAGTTCTGCACCTTTAAGACTGGTTCTGAGAGCAAAGGGGGAAGAAGGAGTGTGAAGTTTGTTTGCAGAAACTGCACTTGCTCCTCCGCATCCTTCTCCTGGACGATGTTGTCCTCAGCATGGACAACTCCTTTGCTTTTAGTTAGTTTTTGGCTAGCTGAGGCAGAGAAGGTCCCCAGCTAGTGGCTTTTCTTTTTTTTGGAAATGTTCAGCCCTGCTCTGGACTGAAAGCCCAGACAAACACCAGGAGCTCACACCTGTGGCCCACCAGGCCTGGGACACGAAATTTTCCAGCACAGGAGGGACTGACAAGAGACTGAGCAAGCTGAGCTACACCCCAGGACAAGGACTCTCTCTGAATTTGCCATCTCTGCAGAGCAGTGAGTGGTTCCATTGTTTAATATTATTCCTTTTTTCATGCTTGTGAATACTTTGCTTGTTAAATAAACAGTTTTTTCCACTTTTTCTCTGAGGAAATCTTTTCCCGAGCCAGTTGGGGGAGGGGCCACTTGAACCTGCTTTCTAGAGGGCCCCCTTTCAGAGGTTTCCTCCCAAATTTGCCCTAAACCAGAACATACACACAGTTACATACACGTGTATGACCCTTTTATCTTTAAGAAATGCTCAAATATATTAGGATTTAGAGAAAGAAGACATGCCAAGTTTTCCTACAAATAGGCAAGGTGAGAAATACTAGATTTCGTACTTTCTGAAGTATCAGTTTTTGTTAAAAGGAAACAACTGCTCTAACTTTGAAAACAACTCAAAAGTCAATGCGATCAAGACAATTTATTGTCTCTTCCAATCTTCCTATCCACTCTGGCAAAGTATATTTGACAGAGGAGTATCTATGCCAACCACATAAATACTGGGAATGGAATTACACTCACAGTTGTATCAGTCACTGCAAATCAATGGGGAAAAATGCTTTGTGTAAACACAGTAAATCTCAACATGATGTCCTCCATTTCAATTCTTTTGCTTTAGTAGAAATGGAGAACCTGAAAGATGTCCAATGAATCGAAGTTTGTGTGGGTTCTGTAATCAAGATTGGTGCACTGGCAACAGAAGCCAAAAGCACTTGTTGTTGGTTTTTCTGAAGACTTTTTCATGTGCTTCACAGATCTTTCTGGAACAGAATACCATAAATTATGTGATCTCTATGATAAAACCATGAAATCTAAAGATAAAGAATAAAATGAAAAAAAAAAGAAAAGATTCATTTGAAAGGGTTCAAACAATGAAAATTATAATTTCTTTTCAGAGCAAATTCTCAGAATTTGACTGGTTTTAAGGATACAAAGTTGTCTTTATGCATGCTGCATTAATTCTGAGACTCAAAAATAATTTATTTTCCTCGGCATGTCCCTTTTATTTTATCTCTTTACTGATTTGCAATTTTTTAACTTTGATTTCACCATATTTTACTAATACCTAAAGAGAGATCACTGTTGCATTCCATAGCCACAGGATCATGTCCAGAGAAGCTACAGTTACCAGGAACCAGCATGGAACACCAACGAGATGGGTTTCTGCTCATAAAACCATTTATTCAGCACAGGAACAAGCTCAGATCCAGAGACAGAGAGCCCCGAACAGAGGCAGGTGATGGGTTTTGAGGGACAGAACCAGGGTGGAGTTCAGGGTCAGGGACCACTAGGAACACAGCAAGGGAGAAACCCCAGGGGCTCAAACCCAGTCAGAACTCCCTGGGCTGACACCCCATGAGGGTCTGGGGTGGGGCAGCTCTTCCTGGGTTCACAGGGCACATATCCTGAGGCAGAGGTTTTAAAACTCACACTAGATGGGCTTTACAGCCGTGCCTCTCACTTTAACAATGCTTATCTGAAACGAAATCTTTGCTCCTCTGGGTGGGGGGCACCTCACAATCACTACTAGGCATAGTATCAATCACAGGAAAAGTGTTTCATGCAGTACCTTGCTTTCATATGTCAAGGTTTTGGTGAAGTAATGTATTAACTACTCTATCACGTCAGTAAAGATGTAATGGAGAGCTCACCAGTTGCCATTACAATATCAAATTATGAAGATGTGACATGATCGCTCCTGGAGAAGAAAAATTAATTATGTGGTCTTTCCGAAATAGAATGCTTTTAGGCAAGAGTCACATCCAAAATCACACAACAAGACATTCATGCCTTGAATATCTGTACTGTGCTACCTGACTTACCACATCTAAACGCCTGAGAATTTGGATAGGAGAAAATATTGGTAAGATCATTTTATCTATTGTGCTCTGGAAAACCTGTGGAAGTCTGTAACAAGATGTTCTTTGCCTCTTGGTTGGGAAAAGGAGGAGGAGGCAACTCTGCCCTGCAGGAGAACCAGTCCTACTGATGGTTTCTTCTTCCTTTTGAGAAAGTAGAGGGTGAGTCTCACCTCTTTTCCTCTTTTCTCTCCTGGTCTTTTTGTGTCTCCTGCCAGATGAGAAAATAAATAAATAAATAAATAAATAAATAAATAAATAAAAGCAAAATAGTGGGAGTATATTGTGGATATTTTTTGTTCTATTCAGAGGATAAAGTTAACCCAAGGTCTGGGAAGAAGAATTAGGAGCATTTGGAGAACTACACAATTCCTAGTCATGCTTTCCCTCCTGTTGTTTTTCTTGTTGAATTTGCATTTTTCATCACTCAGTGGAAAAGCACGGAGTTGGGAAGATGGAAGAGAAAAGGAGGGCTGCATCAGCTGTTAACCAAGAGGAGACAGAGAAAAAGGAGTCCTTCTATTCTGGTCATGCAGAAATTGATAAACATTTCTATAAGAGTGACTGTTTGTTAAAGACTGCTAATTTCTGCTCCCTTTCAGCTGATAGAATTGATTTTTTTCAAAGCCAAATCACTTATGTGTTTTTCTAGAAACTCTTATGTTGCTAGATCAGTAAGCAAGACTTAGATGCTTTGTGTTAGCTATTTGCATTTGTAGCAAAACAGGTCTGCTAAACATAGGTATCTGTCAAGACTAATCCTGTAATGTGTAGGTCACTTTTATTGTTTTCCAAGCATTTTTACTTTTATGTGTATAGAGAAAAAAGAAGTTGGAAACTTCTAATTAATATATTAGGTACTATTCCAATCTCTCCATATCAATTGTAACACATTAATGTTTCTAAAAGTCAAGCAAGAAACAAAGGTTATCTTCACCCAATATAACATCAGCTATTCTTTGATAAAAACTGCAGTTTTTCATGTGATCTGATCAATATTGTCACAATAGTTGTATTGCCATTTCTTGCCAACTTTCATGGGCTTTTTTCCTCCCACATTATGGTGAATGCTGATTTATGTCTGTGTTTGATTCAATTTAAAGGCTTTAAACTCATTTCAACATATGTTGCCCATGGAGTGTGTGCTTATGGTTTGTTGCTGGAATAGGAGGTCATTTCCCTCAGGCCACTTTTACCTTTAAGGTTGGTTTCCTCCACAGTCAAATAGCTTTGAACTTAAATCAAGAGGTTTAGCACCACATGAGGATAACAGCATGCAATTACCCAGCAGACTTGTAAGATACGAAAATGTTAAATGTCACAGAGGTTTTTAGAACTTACACTGTCACATTGTGTGTTCCGTATTGATGTTTTGGCAGCACGAGGAGAGCTCTCCCATTGCAGTAAGCACTTGCTGATTTACTTGGAACATCTCATGACATCCCTCATTGGTGAGGAATAGCGAGAGAGCAGTTCTAGAGCTGGTCTCATTGCCGTACTTGCTGTGTTGCCCATGAAACAGAGCACTCCACCTGGAAGGAAAAATATCTGCCATGTGAAAAACTACACAGAAATCTTAATAGACATGTATGACCACATCTGCTGGTCCAATCTCACAACTCCCTGGTATCTTCAGGATGGTAAAAGCTCTTCTTTCATGAGCAACTTGATGAAAATTTCCAACACTGCAGGCTTTTATTGCACATTGCAGTTAGTCCAGACTAGTGTGCGAAGAGAGCAGATGTGGCATTTCAGGAGAAATCTCCTAGCCACAGAACAGAAGAAGAGAAGAAAGTAATGAGGAATTGAAAACAAACAGTTTGACCTTCAAATGCTTTTCTCCTGTCAGTAGAAGCAGGCTGTCTGCCTCCTTCTGAACCAGTTGCTAAAATTCCAGTGCAGTCTTGCAAATTTAAACAGAAACTTTCACCCAGCAAGCATAGTATTACTAATTTTATAAATTCATCTGGAGACAACATCCGTTAGAGAAAGCGCCTATTAATATCAGATTGGTGATTTGTGTACCTGTTTAGGGGACATAGTGGCAGAATCTGAAAGCACTCCATATGACTTCAGAGGTATGAAAATCAAACTGGGTGCAGGATGTATAATTTTATACATAGGTATCTAATCATGTTGGCCTGTGAAAAATAGCCAGGTACAGTGATAGATATTCCTTGTTCCCTTCCCCAGAAGCAAACAAAGTTATGAGGTTAACGTAACAAGCACAAAAGGTATATTGTGACCTTTCAATACAGCTGTTTCACAAGGAACTATTTGTTAACTGCCACTGGGATTGAGTGCTCCAGAGCGTGTTAAGCCTTGCCAGCCCACTGGATTCACTTCTGGGGATCAGAAGCTGAACATGACAAATATGCCTATCAATGTATTCCTTGGAGCTACATGTGTTTCTGTATTTTCAGGATCAGCAACCTTGTTAAGTAAGAAGGTATGGGGACTATGTATACAAGGTGATGTAACAAACTATTGTTGCAATATAAGGTTGAATGTTTCATTTATTTATACATTTTGGGAAGAAATGAGGACAATTTATATTTTAAGCAGTTTGGCTATAAATATACTGTTATGCCAAGATAAATGGTTAAAACAGTGGTTATAAATTTTGTTTTGGCATTGCAGTAAATTGTGTATATTCCTTCCTGAATGTATGTGTGAATTAGCATTTTTATGTACTCATAATGTGACCTTTATATTTTAAATTTTTTTAGGAAATAGTCCTCCTAGAATCTGTTTAGATTTCACTAATTCCTTAATGAGATGTGAATAAGTGAGGTATTTGTCCTCTAATATTTAATCCAGTAGTTTGTGCAATCCTAGAAATCCTTCAAAATTTTCTGTCAAGTCTCTTTTTGACTTCAAATTTAAAAATTGTCTTTGGGAGGGAGTAAGAAGTGAATCCAACAAAAATGCTGGATTTTTTTTTCCTTTTTGCCCATTCTGAGTCAATTTGGCAGTGAGCTGTTCAGATGTATAGATGGCTGAGTCCTCTTTTGTTGTCTTCCATTGGTGTGTGTGTATGGAACAAATCCTGGGCCTTTAACATGTTCCAACATGGAACACTCAGAAAGTGCACTTTTCACAGAATACTTATGAATGAAAACTGGTAATTGTACAGGACATCAGTTTCCTTACTTGATGCCATGAATCTGTCACAGGAAGGTAATTGGACTCATATTTATCTTTAGTGATATTACATTAAGCATCTTAATAAGAACAATGGAGCTTCAACAGACCCTCATCTCAGCATCTGTCAAGCAACCAAATGGGAAGCAAATGAATACAAAGATATGTTGTGTTGTTGGTTTATTTTTTATTTTTTTTTTGTATGAAATAAAAGTCTGCTATGCTAAAAAAATGTATGTTGAGTGTTGCTATTTGTGTTACATGTGGCATGTATTTGAAAGGTCACGTGTTACTGATGAGCTCATTGTTTATAATTAAGAAATATTTGATAAACTGTGAACAAATACTTATTTATTTTCAGACTATTAGCTAAAACATTAATTATTTTCACCTATTAGAGCATCCTAATGAGGAACTAATATTAATTCATCCAACAAAGTTCACTTTTATTTGAGACACTCACCAAGTTAATTACTAGACTCCCTTCATTAACATTTCAAATCTCATTAAAATGTAAATGGGATTTTTTTTTTGCATATTAGAGGGTATTTATTGGCATTCATCATAGTAAGTACTTTGGTCTTCATTAATTATAAAGAATATAATAAATAGTCATTTACTGTTGTGAAAACAGCTGGTTAAAGGTTGTTGTACTTATGCTTTTTAGCATGGCAATCAAAATGGATGATTCTTAGTATAGACATACTTAATTCTCAGCACTGCACTAGGTGGCATCCAAAGTGGAGGAGAGTGTAACAAGGCTTCTTGTTCATCATGCAGATGTGTATGTGCAAGGGAAGTACCTGGAAGTAAAGGACCTTTTCTAACCAAAAAGGTACTATTCTACATATTTCCTCCCACAATTTAGATGGCCATAAACCCTTATGTCACCAGGCTCTGATGAGCATGCTCTACTTGTAAAAAAGTAGTTCAGGAAAAAAAAATAAAAAAAATGTTGCCTCCCTCCTCCCACCTCCCCTCCAAAGTTAATAGGTAATGGTGAGCAACTATTTAATCTCTACTATGTATTTGTAGCTCTTATTTTTGAGACTTCCATGGTTGGGAGCATAGGGCCACAGAGCGGCCAGAACTAGGTAAGGGCCATGTGTAGCTAAAATTCATAGATGCTGGAGATTGTCTGGTTTATGGTGGTAAACTGGGAAACAGAAGACAGTCACCAGCTCCCATAGTTTGGACACACAGTCTCTTTTTGTGGGTTCTGGTCCTGGATGTAGGTATTTTACTGTCTACCTCTTTGACAAGCTATTAAAAGAATTATGCATCAATTTTTCAGTTTTAACCAGATCATGTGAGATTTGATTTGCATGTTCAGACTTAATAGGCTTCTAAAATAAACTGTTTTCCACTATCATTTTAATGCAATAAAGAAAGAGGATTTATATATAATATATAATGCTTGACCTGCTCATATATCACCTTTTCTAGTCTTGCCTGCATCAGATAATTCTGTATCAAAGCAGACCATATAAATATGGTAAATATAAATATAGAAATATGGAGATGAAAGAAGAAGATAAACTGAGATATAATTGTATTAAGAAAGTGGTTTATGTACATAAGATACTGCAACCAGTTTTATGCTTATGACAATTACTGAGGTATCAGCTTGAGAACCAAATCTGGTAGGACTGGTTAAGATGATATTTCAATTAGTGGCTCAGAGTGTATGGCACTCAGTCACTGAGGGACCTACCACAGTTTCAACAACATATTGAAGAATCCCTCCCCTGAAGGAAGACTGTTGTTGGAGGAAAGGCATGAAGCTGGTAATGAATTCCCCCAAGTACTGGTAGTAAAGAGATTTCACATCTTTGAAAGAATCCCACTGGTGCTCTCTTACTTGTTCTTGTCAGGAATAGTCACTAACTTCTCTAAGAGTTTGGGAGTTGATGGGTTTGCAACTAAAATGAATGGAGCAGAGAAAAATTTATGTTTTTCCACTAAGGCTGAGTTTTCACAACTTGTTCTTGTTCTGCAGTAATCCTTTATTTTCTTATGACTTCCCCAAAGAAAAAAGTAATTTGATTGCTTGTACCTGGATTTGGTGAAATAATTTTATTTGACATAATTTGAACAGCTATTCTAGCCAGGGAAAATAAGGAAACCTAGTACACAATCAAATCATATCATTAGTTTTGATAATGAAGTTAAAGATCAGTTCACTTGTTCTTTAGCTTGATCTACGACCTTGTGCCAGACAGCTGTTCACAGTTAATGGCAATAATCTCTATAAAGTGACACAAACATTGCAATGACCACACCACTTTCACGTGTGAGCCTTCCAGGCAGATCAAATCTGGTGTGACTACATATGGATCTTGAAAAAGCATTACATGGACTTGCTTGAGGAAACTTTATCCCAGGAATATCTCTGTTCCCTAGTCTGTCTG